TTTTTTTCTGTTAATTGCGCAATCTGCTTTTTCCTCTCACTATCCTAAGTCTGTCAGTAAAGGCTATCCCGGCTTCTTAATTTCAATTGCAACCCTCGCAGGAGCAAGATAAAAGTTAGTCTGCTCACACATCTTTAGTTGTGATCATGTCATTTCTAAGTCTCCTTGTTCACCCTTGCGAATATTGCCTTACATAAGCCTTTTTTACCGTTTGCCTTTGGTTCGAACCGCAGAACTACAACTTCGAAACGATTTCTATTTTGTCACACCGTTTCCTGTAGTGTTTGTTTCGCCGTTTCTTCCAATGAAAATTATGATTGATTTTACTTGATTTCCCTGGAATTATTCAACGTGCGTTCGATTGTTCAAGCTCCTGGGGTCAGATTGCCCTTAACCCAATCTACACGTGGCTTCGTTCCTGGAAAGTCACACTCGCCGAAATCTCGACTGAGATCTTTCGGGATCCCCTTCGCGATTTTCTTGTTGTTGTTTTCAATAGAGCAAACGAAAAGAATTCTTTTATTATGAGAAAATTTTTATATTAGGAAATATACCTCTGCGCTGTATTTGCTCATCCACTCTTTCCCCAGCAAGTTTGGGAACATACACGCTCAAAACTCGAAGTGTTTTTCTGGTTAAACCACTGAGGCAAGTTTATTATCAAAAAACTTCCAATTACAAGTCAAGACTACAAAAGTCATATTTGCTCATGCATTTTTTTTTCCATTTTTGTTTTCTTTAGTTTTTTTTATTGTTTTTCTTTTTTTTTTCTTCAAAGGTTTCTCTTGACTTCATAATATGTGAATACCATCAAAGGAGAGTAGTCAGCCATACCGTAGACCTTAAAAAAGCTGGTAATTTGACTGGAAGACTAAGGTCATGGCTAACTGTGAATGGAAACGGATGTTCGAAAGGTGAAATGCTTACCTACGGGAAGCGACTGTTAAGAGAAACATTCCGACATCTTTCTACGATGTCCTCATCCTCTTACCCATTCCATTTTCCTTTTCAAGAAAATTCACGGGTGGCCCTCCTTTGGTGTCATTTTGGAATCATGCGAGAATTTGAAAACTCGATCGTTCAGGTTCTGTTATAGAAAGACAATGTCCTAAGGCTTTAGATTGCTTCTGAATTGTCACTTAGTGCGAGACACTATTTGATCCACACAGAATAATTTTTCTTCCTTTTAAATAACACTGTCAGGCGAAGGTTCCCTTTCGGCTGAAGTTTCAAGTTAGAAGATAAACAGAAAGATACTTAATATAAGAGTCTATGTGTGAACTTGTTTTTCATGTTGTAATGCCATGAAATGCATGCCTCGCGGTTTTAATACTAACGGGTGCTTACAAATTTCGGTGTTTATGAATCGATTTCAGACATGTTGAGCACATAACAACCATAAAACTGAACCCTCTGGGTTTTCATTCACACAAAGAAACAAATTTCCTGTTTAACTTTTGATAATACATACTTTTGAACAAACGACTACACGACTAAGACATTTTACATAATACCTGTGCATGGACAACACGAGAAGTTTAGCAGACCTCCAGCGACATTTAGGGCTTCAGTCTTCATACAACTACTGAAGTGATCATCATAAATTGCATTTTCACGAGCGACAATGACCTCGTGGATACCGTTATATATATTTCTCCTTTTAATGAGGAAGGTATTGCCTTATTTGGTCGTGCAGTTGCACGTTCTGCAGACCGGAACAAATTTTTATTTGCCTTTCCAATTTGGCCATACAAAAGAAATCACTAGTAGGTCCGGATTCGATTACTTTCCAATCAAATTCTGCGTTATAAAAATCAAGGTCAAGTTAAATTTTGTGGTGGTAAGCGCAGGCATCCTGCGGATGAAACGATTTGAGCTTTAAATCTCTATAAAATTGACAGAAAAATGGCGAAATGTTTAACGGATATAAGATTCCTCGAAGAAAAAACTTTAAAAGGAGGGTTTCACTAAGCTAAACGGAATGAATATCGTTGTGGTTGATCGCTTTTGAAAGTGCCAAAAACTTGCTCCTTTTGCTTGGCTGCCCAAGCACATGATTGTGAACTGAAGTGCTTCGTCGTGCTTTGTGAAGTTTTTTCTGGTAGGTAAAGTTTTGCTATCCGCCATTTTGAATAAAAAATCAGTCAACGAATATTGTTGCCAGTGTGGAAGTAGTTTCACTACGCTGAGAACTTCTCAGAGAAAAAAAAAATTAAAATTGCGAAAACCGATCGGCTTTGCGATATTTGCTTTGAGACAAATACAGACTGGAGCACATAGTTTGGTGCGCGTTTTAGCGAACATTTTGTTGTGAACTTGATAAAGAGTGTCTTTGCGTGTGATCTCACTGAAATAGTTTCGCAAGAGTCGACGTTTTGATGTTGCTAACATCCGCGCGAAACTAAAGTATTTAAGTGAGTTCACGTGCAACTCATCTATTATTCACACTGATAAAACTGTTATTTTCAGCCTGACAATGATGTTAGCAACATCTGAACGCCGACTCTCTACGCGTGAACTATTTAATTGAGATCACATGCAAATGTCTATTATTCTAGTTCCACTAAAGAGTGTCTTGAGGATTTTATTTCAGTATTTAAATGCGAAAATTTAGAAAACGTTTGTTGCCTTTTTTTCTTTTTTTGCATATTCTGTCGTCTTTGCTTCAGTTCCCTCTACGAGGTAATCAGGCTTGCACGATCATCAAGGCAGGCAAAGCGCTAAGAGCTTTTTGCCTTTTTTTTCCTTTGCGCTTAGGGGTAGAAATAGATAGCTAAATTCCAAATCAAAATTTGGCGAATTTTTCTCCAATACTAATATTTTTTATTCGTACTTGAAATTACTATGCGAGTACTGCGAAAGCTTTAAGACTAAAATGTTTTGAAAAAAAACATGACGTGACAACTGTGTTTGTAAACTCTCATCGAAACCCACTAGTTGACCTATGAGAGCGAACGCTTACCATCTCAACTAATTTATAATTTCATATACTAGACAAACAATTTGCATATTTTGTGTTGTCAATTCACATGTTACCACGGGAATAAAACTATTAGCTAAAATATCGTTTTCTCGTGTTATTGCTAGGTTCAGAAGCACTCTTCTTCGAATTGATCTGTTGTAGAATAAAGAACTTGACCGACTGGGGCGAAACTTTCGACTCCGTAGAAGGGTTTATAAAAGCTCCCTTGAGTTCTCACTCCTCCAACACGAAAGGATCAGATGGTCGCACGGGGTACTGGAGTCCGTAAGTAACATTACCTTTCCTTTTGGTTCATTGACAGGGTTTCATTGGTATTTGGATGAATATCGACTTAAGCTCACGAAAGAAACGACGCAGTCAGCCAATGAACTCCATAAATGCGTTGCCTCACTTGCCTTTATATTCGGAGATGTGTATTGTTTTCTGGAAATAAAGACTCTGTTCAAGTGATTATATAAAATTGAGGACGCCCACATTACGAGTAAACGCAAATTTGTTTTGACTTTCATCTTAAAATATGGGGTTATTGATCTTAAGAATATGATTTTGTCGGAAATAGCCGTTGGGTTGGACATTGCATTTCATATTTCACCGCTATCAGTTGCTGCTGCTACTATCAACTTATTAGGAGCTAGACGAAAGTATTTTTTCTTTATTTTACATATACGATATTTCCCTTTTGTCTGTCTTATTGGTTTATTTCTTGCATTAATTAAGTTCTCTTTCCGATCGCTTTATTGTTTACTGAGGTCAGTGTTACATTCTCCAGGATATTTTTCTTAGTTTAGTTTCTGCTGTATTTTCTTTTAGATCAAACCACAAATTCAGCCACAACCTTCATCATATCCTCGCAACTTTAATCGCAACTACCTTCTTTTTATCCGTACAATTCAACGTGATCTCGCACCGATTTCTTTATTCCAATTTATAGTTTGATTACTGACTGTATTTAATTAAACCTTAATTTCTACTGTGCGTTCGAATTGTCTACTCCGTTCTACAAGTTTCCTTTGGAGGTTACACCACCCTATAGTCATGATCAGTAACGTAAATACTACAGGGAAAGAACGGTTATACTTTAAGTTATGTTCGGTAAATTTAATTTAGTGGCGGATTTTCGATGGTGGAGTTAAGCTCATCTCGCTTATGTCTTTTGAGTCATCACGGAAATCACAGGAGATCTTAAGTCAAGAGTTTCATCAATTCACTCAAATGAGGGATAAGAGTAGAATCTATCGGTACAGAATCAGTTAGAACAGTGTGAGATACTGTCAGTCAAAATTTAGAAAATGGTCATCAGAATTCAAATTTATGAATAGCGGGCGCCGGCTATACTTTCTAAACCGACAATGCGTTGCTATGTTTGGCAAAACCATGGCAGTGTCACAGTTTAAATTGAGGCTAGACAAGCTCGGACACATGATTCTTGCAAATTAAAAAGAATCACCTGCGTTTTGAATCCACGGGTGAAATCTCGTTTCGACTCGCTTAGTCCTTCATGCTGAGAGCCATTGAGTAATAGCTTGTCACATGATTTGAATATGGCTAGTCACGAGACAATGTTATTTGTTGCGTTGCGATGCGCTTAAGGGATTTTTCCCTATCCCAACATTCCAGATACAGCGTATTAAGTCACGCTCGTAATTAGAAAAGTCTCAATGAAGTCAACTATTAAAGAATAATTTTTGGGATCTTTGGAATTCTTACACGTCGAAATCTCACTAAAGTAATCACGATACCGCTTTGAAGTCCAAGAAAACAAGAGGAATTTGTCCAGTGTAATGCTCACCTAATTCCTCCAATTCCTTTTGTCTCAGTGTCTTTCGCGTCGTTTAGCGGGTAGCGTCGGCAAATTACGACTATTTTACATTGATTGAGTTACAGATCGAGCGCCGTTTGGCTTTGAAAGAATCCGTGGTTCTTTCAAAGCCAAATATTAAATATTCTAGTTTTTATAATTGTTTCAGTTTGTTCGGGGATTCCCCGGACACAGTGACGTAAAATGAAATATGTCAATATTCTCGGACTATCATATATCCCATAATTCGCCGAATCGTGGTGTCCGTGTAAACTGCTTTTGATCCCAAACCTCGCTAAAATTTTTTCAAACTGAAAGCGAAACCAAGCTGGGGAGAAGGGAGCAGAAAATCAAGTAAGAAGGTGAGAATACAGTAGCTTTGCCTACTTGAATCATTATGCAAATTTCAGTTTTCTTGGAGGTGAAGACCGCCATTTTGAAGACTTTGTGCGTAATTCGAGCGTGATTTCGTGTCGCGATAGTTTTATCTTTTATATTTGGTGAATCAAACACTACGAAGAATGTAATTTCAATCTGGCTAATCTGAAAATAAAATTTCTATTTCCATATGCTTTTAAATACTACCATGCGACTGGAAACGTTTTCAAATTTCTCTGTGAGTTGTTTGTTTAAATCCGCTCTTGTGAATAAGTAACCCAGCTAGGAAATAAGACCAAACCTCCCACACTAGCAGCAAAGAAAATCATCAATATCTCAGTTCGAATTCTTAACATTTTTAACCACAATTTACCGAGTTCATCTGGCAGAGTCGTTTTACGGTCGAAGTACTCCTTCATTCAGAGGAACGATACAACTCGTCAAATCACCACCGTGGCCCACATCTACATATAAACGGTTACATTATGCACTGGCCTAGTTGAGAGCTAATACTACATTTCTGTCCTAGTACAATTAATTTAATCTTTTTCAATGTTATAGGAACCTTTTTTTTTTTAATATCTCAAGGAATTTTTCTACAATTGTTCGTGATCAGGACTCTCACATATTCAAACAATGATATTCATCAAAACATTTACCTTTCTCTTGTGGAGTAGAGTATTCATAAATATGTGGGATGCGGCAAGTTTATCTGTTGTGCATGTGAGACAAATCTTATACAACACTGCCTTCTAGTTCTAGTATTATCATACAGCCTCTTATTCTTTCCAATGCTCTACTAAACGATTGTGTTGTACCAGTAGCTATTTGCTGTCTAAACTGCCCATTTTTAACTTTCCATTGTCAATGCTTTGTTTTTCGAATTTTGATGTGTGCCCTGATTATATTACAAGGTCTGTTACGGTAGTCACTAACATCCTTGAAATATACGCGAAAACTTAGACATCAAAAATTCTTTGAGTTACCGGATGATAATGTTTAAAACGTTTTCATTTTCTCATTATTTTGCAACACACCTCGAAAGTACTTACTCGAAAGTATTTACTATAGCTTTTCGTCAGGAAGTCTTTCGATTTCTGTGATTGACGACTAGAACAAGTGCGGCTTATCACACTATTGTTTGAACTGAAGGCAGCGAAGGGTTTTTCCCTTTCCCAGAATGCACGTCGCTTAAGGAAAACTCACAGATCGATCAAGAGAAGTTGTGTGCCGTCCTAGGTGTGTTATTGTAAAGAGAAAAAAAAATTATTGGTTTCAGTACGCAGATACTGTCTGCTTACTCGATTGGGATTAAGGATTGGGCATAATTTCACCCAGAGAATTCATCTCCGTGTAAACCGTTTGGCAAGTTTCAGCTGCATTAGTCGACTTCCGGTTTCGTTTTCGTCGACCACATTGTTGTGTTGGTTCTTCTCATTCGGGGCCTGTATAAGTTTGATGTTTCAACTGTGTGCACCAAGAATATCTTTCCTAACAAGAAGAACTGAACTAACGGATATGTTCTCTGTTTTGAATTTCACAGCGAAGGTCGACAAGCATCAGCGACGACTTCTCGTCCGGCTACAAGCTGCAGTCGTCGGTTTATTTAGAGGTTTCAGTCAAATATGCTAGCTAAGCATTTCGTTTTGCGGTTTTTGCTTTATGAAGGGAAAATTCTTACAGTGGATGTGTCCATGCCGATCTTGTTTTGGTTGCGCAAAGAACTTGGATTTATTTATTTCGCTAAAGTCGTTTCACGCTCAGTTCCTTTATGACCGTACACTTTCTTTTTCTAGGTCTGACTCGTGCTAACTTGAGTACGTGGAGTAGAGCTGGTTATCAGACTCAAGCAAATCTTAGATAGAATGATCTGTCGACAAGTTCAAATGCATTCCAGGAATTTTTCTTTGACTATTTCCCGCTCAAGTATTTTGAAGGTCTTATTAGCGGTTTTCACGCGGTGTCAACAAGGCCGGGTTGAAGCGAAGGTCTCAGTCGTTTGCATTAGCATTACTACCCTAAGAATCACGATAGCTTTCATTTTCAGTTTGGATCGTTTTTCAACTTTATAAACAACGTCTAAGTCTTTGTGAATACTGGTTGTTATGATCTAATGATAATCGTCGAATCGTAATTTTACTGTTGTTAGACCTTTCCGCTGCCTTCGATACAGTCGATCATACCATCCTCCTCTCTCGTTTACGTGTACGGTTTGGGATAGCTGGAAAGCCTCTATTATGGTTGCAATCTTATTCATCGAATCGCACGCAATATGTCTCCGTCGATGGTGGTACTTCTACGGAACATGATCTTAAATGTGGAGTGCCACAAGGATCTGTCTTGGGACCCATTTTGTATTTGCTTTCTACTTCGCCCCTTTCAGATATCATAAAGAAATTTAACCTGAGCTATCACTTTTATGCTGACGACTCACAGCTTTACTTGTCTTTCCAACCAACCGTACCGGGTGATAGGGATCTAGCGGTTTCTAGTATCGAGAGCTGTGTGAATGAAATCAATCATTGGATGATGGTTAATCGCCTTAAATTAAATAAAGACAAAACTGAATTATTGGTGATCTCCGCTAAACATCTTCCAAGACCACTCCTTCACGAGATTTCAGTTGCTGGTGAGACTATCCATTCCGTGCAAAAGGCGAGGAATATCGGCACTATGTTTGATAGCCATTTTTGCTTTAACGATCATATTACTGACATTTGCAAATCTTCATTTTATCATTTGCGAAATATTAGCTATATCAGGAAATATCTTTCAGCGACCACTACTGAATTGCTGGTTCATATGTTTGTATCTTCGAAGCTGGATTACTGTAATTCTCTTTTGTATGGCCTACCAGCCTACACTATAAAAAAGCTACAACACGTCCAGAATGCCGCGGCGCGCCTCGTCACACTTACAAAAAAGCATGATCACATTACGCCTGTTCTTTTCAATCTTCATTGGCTTCCCGTTAATCAACGTATTATTTTTAAGATTTTACTTATAACCTACAAGGCACTTAACAACTTGGCACCGTCGTACATTTGTGATTTGCTTACATCTTACACCCCATCGCGTCAACTACGCTCATCATCCAAGCACCTTCTGGTTTCTCCATCCTATAACTTGAAAACATATGGCGCAAGATCCTTCTCTGTAGCAGCACCATCATTATGGAATGCTTTGCCAAGTGAAATTAGAAATGCTCAGTCTGTGTCTGTTTTTAAAAGTAGATTAAAAACTTTTCTTTTTAGAAAAGCCTTTTATAATTAATATTAGCTGTCTTAAGTGTTAATGTTAAAGTTTTTGTAGGCGCCTTTGAACAGTAGGATACTGGCGCGGTATAAATCTTTTNAGGATTCTTGTCAATCCTTGCAACTGGTTGTTTTGTCGAAGGTAAAGCCGTAGCCACTATCAAATCGAAAGCGTCGCCGTAACTAAAGCACCGCTTATTCTTATTTGATTAGAAGGGATTATTTTATTGTCTTTTGTTGATGTCGTTGAAATTTCGCCATTCTTTATTTATCGCTGACTTTATCTATGTAATTGCTTTTGCGGGTAGTTAGGAACAGTCGCACTTGCTAAAGTAGCATTTATTATCGATGGTGTCGTAAATAGTTAGTTGTTTGCCTGAAACAAGGTTGATTTTAATCACTGGAGAGACTTCTGCTGTAAAACTTGGTTAGCCTCTTGTCATACACACAATCAATAATTTGTTGTCAACATACGGGATACTGCAGGTCGACATAGTCCCCCACGTTTTTAATCATGTGGAGATCGCGGTTGAATAACTCTAAAAAAAAAAAAACCAAACAAAAACCACAAACGGGTTGTCGCTGTCTAACTGGTGGCAAATCAGTTCAGGAGTAATTCTATATATACTGAATATTGATTAATAGCTAAAATCTGCGAGCCAGTTTATTTAAATTAGCAAGTTTATTTAAATTAGCTGTGTTCTTGTCAGACTTCCACTTTAGAAATGGAATTTCTCTTGAATTAATTGATTAGCCAGTATCTTTCGTATTTAGTATTAGGTTTTCAATTTGTACACAAAATCGAAAATATCACACGAGGGCGTCACGGTCATAAGCCTAACATAATTCTGCACGTTGTGTATTGGGAATCACGAGGTTGTCACAGAGATAGTTGTCATAGTTCGGTTACATCTACATCTACACATATTTTTTCGGCGGTAGCTATCACTAGATTTTGCCAAAACTCAGTTTAAATTTTGCCTACTGCAAAAACACCAACTTGAATCTCTGTAGCAGCACCATCATTATGGAATGCTTTGCCAAGTGAAATTAGAAATGCTCAGTCTGTGTCTGTTTTTAAAAGTAGATTAAAAACTTTTCTTTTTAGAAAAGCCTTTTATAATTAATATTAGCTGTCTTAAGTGTTAATGTTAAAGTTTTCTGTCGGCGCCTTTGAACAGTAGGATACTGGCGCGGTATAAATCTTTTATTATTATTAAATAGGAGCTTATGATGAGTTTTTGTCTCTCCTAGGTCTTCCCAGATTTTGTCAAGCTGGCGGCAATAATCTTCCGTACAAAACACTGCAACTCGTTTGATAATAAGGGAGAATCATTGGTGGCTCTACTGATTATTTTAACTATCTATTCAATTACCTGCAACAAACCGCTAACTTTGGATTCAGGAGAGATGAAAGGGTATCAGCTATCTGAAGACGACCTAGAACACATACCACGGAAGTACATATGTGAATATTGCCACTTTATGTTGCGTGACCCAGTACAAACGCCCTGTGCTCACTTTTATTGCCGAAGCTGTTTCGAAAATTTGAAAAGGTAAATCTTAATATGTGCACCAGATGTATTCCCTTGTGTCACATAGAATAAGTGCCTCTCTTTAATTTTGCTCGATAAATATGCAATTTTCAAGAAACAAGGAAAATTTCATCCTGATAGCCAATATATCATTAAACTACTTAGTGGTTACGTAGCAAAACATTGTTGTTATGACAAAGCCCCACGATCCTCAGCTTGTTTTGAGTGTCACAATAAATCATTTTCATTAGATTTATCTTACTACAGGACTTCAATACATCTTTGACTCTCGCAGGGACGCGGTCTTCAAGTGTAAGGTTGATGATGAAGAATTCAACGTTGCTGAGGTTAGTATAGGGTGGTGGGATCGAGTATCAATGTAGCTCGACTGTTTAAACTTAAACTCAATATTCATAAGATCAAGACGATTTAGAGATTATGTGAAAAATCACACCAAAATATCTATTGGTAAGCATTCTACCAAGATGCAGATGGCTTCAATAATCTGTAACCTGCGTCGAAATGGGAAATCAGCATTTTTGATCGATCAAACACGATGTACAATGTATTAGTTCACAGCATGACAAATTGCTTGCAACTCAAATTGGCGTATTTTCTTGGGCAAATTTTCAATGACAAGTCGAAACAGGAAAGCCATGTTTTGAATATGAAGACCTGGTACTAGATAGAATGTATAGCAAACACGTTGTTCATAACAAGGGGCTTATCAAATTAATAAAACCTTGCGGTTAAGAGAGTGTCAGTCCTGCTTTAGTTCTCATCTTGTTTAGAGACGGTTTCACTCCACTTAATTTATGCTACTTCTGGAATCGCATAAGTTATGTGCTAATTATAATTGAGTATAGATTTCCGAGGCGCAAAATTTTTCCTCTTGTTACTGTTACCAGCTAATACAATTTTGTATCGATGAATGTCGACTCCATCTGTATTGATATAGCATAATGAGGTGAAAATTTTTGCAGATCTTTCCTGATGGATGCGTCAAAAAGGAGATCCAAAGTCTTACGGTCCACTGCTTACATTTCTCCCACGGGTGTGGGTGGGAAGGTAAAATAACTGACCTAGAGGTAAGTCAATCGTCCGTAACAAGGACTGGGTGGACTATTAGGACTAAAAGCAAATTCAGTACGGAAATGGGGGTGGCGTTAGACCATTACTTTCTATTAATACCTCCCCAGCTCGTCTTAATTAGCCATCGACTAAAACGGATTTGTTTGTTTTTTGACAGAAACTAAAATTGCAAAGCCTTCCTCGCTGACTAAGTTATCTCACTGATTTAAAAAAATACCCTAAAACTGACTTGAGAAATTACCATAGACGACATAAAAATGATAGCACAAAATGATGATTGAAATAACTAAAAATAATCATGGATTAGTCGAGTGCTTTCGATCTAGCTAAGGAATAGTTTTGTCTAGGCATTACAAAATCCAGTCTGTTATCAGAATTAAAGTCCTAGGAAGGTAGGACGGTGGCGTGGCTGGCAGTTCTGATCTGTGGTAACTCATTTCGGTCGATCCAATGGCTGCAATCTTTCTCCATATACTCCCATAGCATTTAGACTAGAGAGATTTAGCCCGCAAGACTAAACTTCTCTTATGAAATCCAAGCGACTAGTTAGCCAGTCCAGGATGGCTCTCAACCTTTAAAATGGCACAGCCTACTGAAAGAACTAACACAAACAATAGGCCTACTCGTGATAATGATAATAATCATGATGATGGTGGATGATATCGTAGGAACATGTCACCACTTGCGACTACGAAGAGATAAACTGCGTCTTCGAGGACAAGTGTAAAACGAAACTGTTAAGAAAAAATCTGGCTGGACATCTGGAAAAGGAGTGCAGTCAAAGAAAGGCACCTTGTGAATACTGTAACGAAGAACTACCTTTCTCTGATTTGGAGGTATGATGTAGCTGCTTTCCATTACTTTCGACATGGCGGTTGCTGCTTATGCTTCAGGACTTTTGCTGCAAACCTATTGCCGATGGTTTTGATGCCGCTTCTTGTTTTAGAGCGCTTTGACTGCTCTTCATGTTTTAAAGAATTAGATACAACTGAAAATCTTAATAATTTAATAGCTTAGCTTTACTATTAATAGCTTTTTGTCGGAGATTCTTGCCGAACAGCCCACCCCAAAACTTAATTTCTTTGTGGTCTCCTCCTTTTCACAAAACCTCCCATCATACTCTCTCTGTTAGTGACACATTATGTATTTGTTTGCAATTGCAGGATCATCACAAAAATGATTGCCAATCATTTCCAATCAAATGCATTTTGTGTAACGAGGAAGACATACCTCGAGGGAAAATCAAAGCACATCGTGATCCAGAGAATGGAGACTGTGAAGGATCGAAAGCAATATGTCCCTTTCGCTCATTAGGATGCAAAAGCATAGAGGTATTTTTCAACAGCTTACTACGACTGATCTTTTTGTTATCTGAAGAAATAACTAGTTAGTGATTTATCTGTTGTCCTTCGATTGATAAATCAGGTTTCCTATTTCACTTACATCCTATTACGCTTGGTAACTCTTTAGTCCTTCATAACCAAGAAATTATGTACTTTAATATCTATAGTTCTCTTTGAACTTCTGGGATGAAAACACTAGAGGAGTTCATTGTGTATGCCAAACTGCCGACAATCTAGATTATTATCACTGTTTACTGCAAAGGTTTTAAAGAAGCATTTAACTCCGTGATCCTAAGTAACTTGCTGTTGCATTTAGATGTTCCTCACGTTTTGTGCTTGAGATGTTGCCTTTAGGTACGGATTTGTTTTTGCTTTTTGTCCTCGTCGAGTGCAGTTCTATCTTACAGAACAAAATCGCGTTTTATTATCTTAGGAGATGAGTCGTCGCGAGAAGCGTGATCACGAAGAGACCTTGGTGTCATTGCACCTCAATCTTCTCCTCCGGTTTGTATTTGATCTAAAGGATCAGGTAGGATTCTTCGTCAATGAAATAAACCCGTTGAGAGAGGGTATCGCTGTAATGGGCCGACTGAAGTCCACAGTCTCCCAGCTTGTGTCCCAGGTAACAGCAGTTGTTCGAGAGAATGGGGCCATTCAAGATGAACTTCATGATTTAAGATCTCGTTTAATGCACGTGGAGGATAACTTGGTAGAACCTGAGTCAGTACCAGCGGGAGAGCACGGTTCCCTTAACGCTCAGTATCAACAGATAACTAATGTGTTAGATGACGTCAAAAGGAAGATCAGCCACATCCAGGGGCAATTTGCAAATCATGAACTTCTACTCGCAGAAGCAAATCAAGCCATACATGAGCAAAACAACGAAATAGTCTGGCTGAAGAGACAAGATGAGAGAAACAAAGACCTTTTGAGGCGACTTCAGGCAAAAGTAGACTCTATGGACGAAGCCATGAGAACGAGGAATTTCCCGCCAGAAGCTGGTTTGCAAATTAACAGGGACCAAGAACCTTACAGTTTCGATGGCGTACTTCTTTGGAGGATTTCAAATGTCGCAGCCAAGATATACGATTCTTTTAACGAGCCAGAGAAGTCTTTTTACAGCCCTCCTTTTTACACAAGTCGCCAAGGTTACAAGATGTGCGCGCGCATCTATTTAAATGGAGACGGGACAGGCAAGGGAACGCACATTTCGCTGTTTTTCGTGGTGATGCGGGGCGAATACGATGCACTACTTCGCTGGCCATTCCGACAGAAGGTCACCTTCATGATATTAGATCAAAATAACAGGGAACACGTGATTGACGCATTCAGACCTGATCCGAACAGTTCATCCTTCCACAGGCCGCGAAGAGAAACAAACATCGCCAGCGGATGTCCCTTGTTCTTTCCGCTGACAGAATTGAACAGGCACGCTTATATCAAGGATGACGTAATGTTTGTGAAAGTTATAGTTGACTGCTCTGACTTGTGAAAGGTATCCTCTCGTTTATTTCAAAGTTTTTGGTAGTTAATACTTGAAATCCCTTTATTCGACATTTTCCATTGATATTTCGTGGGTACGTGTGATTTTTCGATAAAAATAATGGCTTGCTAAAAACAAAAATAACGTACAAAAAAATGATTAAAAAAAAGAATTAAATTAAAAAAAAATTGAGTTATGTAACACTTAAGAAACTCTGAATATAGGAACATTTCACTGTTTTTAGTTGTATTTCCTAGTCTTTGATAATCTAGTGATGCAGGGAAACAATTATTCTGAAGTTAGATATTAGAAATTTTAAAGCAATTGAATCAATTCTACTTCTTATTTTCGTAATTATATCACAAGTTGTAGTAAAGTTCCCGAGCTTTCAACATTATCCGTTGATATTTCGTTCGTAATCGTGATTTTTAGAAGAAAATAGCACCTTGCTTTAAATAAAAAAAAAATTAAAAAATGAGTAGTAATAAAAAAAAAAATAATAATAATTTTTAAAAAAGATGTATCCATGTAACCTAAACTTATTTTTGGACAAAGGAGCATTCCAATTTTTTCAGTTGTTTATTGTAGTCTTGGATAATTTTGTGATGTCCAAAAACAAATCTACTGTTGTTACATGTTAGGAATTTTGAAAGAATCAAATCTGTTCACTTTTTTTTGCTATCACTACTTGTCATAAGACGACTAACAATAATTCTTATGTAAGATGGTTTTAAAAATTCTATCCTTTGACGCTAGATAGCTAGATAAGACGATTCAACTTTCTGTAATATTCGGCCGGATTTATTACGACCTTTGGAGTTTGAAATTATTCCTTTAATTTGATTGATTGTAATGCTTATGATAAAGTGTACCCTATTTCATGTAATGTGCCTAATCACTTTTGAGTATATCACATGGAGGAACGACCAGATACGCTGGACATCACAACACTGATGACCTCAACGATGATGGATGAGACGCCTGACCATATCTAGGAGCCTCGATTTTGTGTAGCTTGTAAATATCATGCAACGGGTCGAAATACGCACGCCGAAAGGTATTTAGACTCGAACACATTTAAAGCTCAATTATAAAACATTTAACTCAGACACAGAAATGTGTTAATTATGGGGCAGGCTTAAATGATGGAGAAAATTGGAGAAAGTCATATGCCATTTTGGTGTTTGAATCTTCATAATTCTATATTTGAATACAGAAAATATCATGGGTGCCCGACGGCACTCCTTGCACTCACTGGACAGTGGAAGGAAGATCTTGATAATCATAACGTTATTGACACAGTAGCCATTGATTAAGTAAGGCTTTTGACAGTCTACCACATGACTTAATTCTGGAAAAACTTAAATTCTATGGCTTTGGTGATCAAGCGCTATCTTTTATGCGAAGCTATCTCTCTTCTCGCCATCAGATAGTGAAGCTCGGTACCGCCTTCTCCACTTGGAAAGGGGTGTTAAAAGGAGTCCCTCAAGGCTCTGTCTTGGGACCTACATTGTTTAGTATTTTCATAAATGAAATGGATATGGCCCGGACTGGCCGCAAAGTGAGTGCTCAAATAAACGCGCTTAATAATAGACTGAATAATATTTTACCACTTAAAACCAAGAAATCGTTATATCGCTCGTTCATACTACCGAATTTTTATTACTGCAACCAAGTTTGGCACCATTGCGGAAAAAGAAACACTGCAAAAATCGAAAAACTCAATGAAAGAGCGTTGAGATATGCCTATAATGATAAACATGCATTTTATCAGCATCTCTTGGAAAGGATAAGACTACCCTCCATGGAATCTCGAAGAATTCAAGACATGTTACTGACAATACATAACAGCATATCGAACAAAGCACCCCGGGAAATTAGGAATCTTAGTAACTTACGCTCATTTAAGTACAATCTTAGTGCCAAGAATATGTTTTATCTTTACCTTAAGTTAACACTACTGAAGTCATGGAGATATTTTGCAGCCAAGAAATGGAATGAACTCTCAAATGACGTTAGAATAAAAGCGGGCACCAAAGAAATAGTAGACAGACTTAGATCGTTAAATTTCGGGGATTAGTAGATTTGTAACGTTAGTTTAAATAGTATTTTGATTGCGGCGGTAATATTGTAATAACAGTTTTAAATAGCTTTTAATTAGTATTTAATTTTATTTTACCCGCTGTTGATATTAGCGTTGTTAGTTGTTAGGTTTTCATTAGGTATGGAATTACAGGTGGAATACCTGTAAACTAGCTCTTAAGCTAAGCGTATTTCCACGTTAAATAAAGTATGTATGTTTGTATGTATGTATGAATTTATTATTCGTGCTTTGTCAGTTAGTTTTGAGTGCCACTATCACTGTTAGACGAGATCTTCTGCTTCTTCTTTTTATTAATCGAAGGTCGCAATGGGGTTGACCAAGCGGCAAAAGCGGCAAAAAAAATTAGCCGTTTGGCCTAAAAAATAGCAAGTCTTAACCGTTTTTGGAAAAGTAAGTTAAATATAAAATGTTTCTTCGAATAATGTTCGAAGGAAATTGATCGTTACTCATAAAAGTGGCCAAAATGTTAACCGTTAGCCGTAAAAGCCATTACCCCATCGAAACCCTCTCAATCGTCACACGATTATAGATGGATGCATCAAATATATTTGTATTCACATTTGTTATTCTACAACAGATTAAGAACCCTTAGTTTTTTTGCAGTTAATCTCTAGGCTTGGAAACAGTTAGATCGATGGCTGTGACCTGGTACGCCACAGAAATTAATCTACATAGAATATAGCGTATTGCTTATGTAAATCGACACTAAGATTTGCAGCATAAAAGCCATCTAAATGGTGTGATGGCAAATAAAATCTTCAGAAAGCTGATGCAAAGCAAAAGCATTTGTTACCTTTATTCTAAGTGTACTATTTCTGTCAGGTTTGCATTCTGAATATCTAGCTCGCTCCATTGGTAGGGTAAGCTAGACAGTGGATCTGGTTATATTTTCCCTGAGAATCCACTAAGATAGAATTAACTTGACAGAAATTCGAGGCAAATGTTCATTTCATAAATACGGAGGAATTTTCATTAGTTTGTTTACATCTCAAGGGACAGTAAACTGTACTATTAATTCCGAAATAAACTACTAACACGGCTGTGTAAAGTGAATGAGCAAAAGTTCGGGAAAACCAGTAGCAGTAGGGTTACTTTAAAGCGGGTAAAGTGATATTATTTGGACAGATCTGAATAGGAATAAAACATCAATATAATAACTTGAAACTGAATATCAAAAACTCTGAACATACCTGATGTGAAATTCAAAAACAGTCGGATTAAAAGAAGTCTTCGAAAGCAAGTTTTGTTCAGTGCCCGGAACCGTAAGGGGAACTAAACTGGGATTTTTTTTTTATTATGCCATGAGTAAACAGGATGTGCGAGATCAAAATAAGAAAGATGATTAGCCTACAGAGGAAATAGCATATTAATTAGGGAATCTCCCTTGTTTCATTTAGTAATATAACTAAGTCAACTTTCATAAACAGTCAGAAGCACTCATCCATTAGTACATGCAACAAAAAGATCTGAAGACCTTAGGTATTTGATCCTGATCGGAAGAGAAAGTCGCAATACTCAGGTAAGTTTTTGAGCAAGTATTCTGTACTTAAGTTCACTTCGAAAGTCGTCCAACTCCTTTCCCACGCTCGATGGATCTTGACGTATTTGCCGTACGTAAATTTCCAGTATCTTTTACTTCTTCCAACTTGAGCAGCCCTTTAGAAGTAGTGCAATTAAGTTTCCTTTGATTTGATGGTAAGAGAAAGGTTCCTTGGCTCTTTTAACAGCCCTTTACACTCAGCCGAAATGTCAAGCGTGAAACAAGTATGTTTGATCGATCCTTGTAGGCATTAAGTACATGTCCCATTAGCGGTATTTATTTTGTTTGGCACTAATGGTCGTTATGGCTCTGGCCTTACTGACTCCTGCGAAAAAGCAAACCATAATTTTAGTGCAAATGCCATCCATAACCTCTTGAGTGGGGAGCTGAAGCGCTAAACTCTAAGCTCCGAGCGACACCCGGAAGTGAAGTAATTAACCACAGTGTTCAGTTGTGAAAGTAATGACAAGTTTCATGTGATTGAATAAAGCCTTTGCTAACAAGTGATAGTATTTATAAAGCGTCAAAAGAAGTTGCTCTTACTTCAGGTAACAGTCGGGTTTCTCTAACTTAAGTTTGATGGATTTTATCAAAACAATAAATATCAGAATAATCGTCGAAGAAACAGACTGGAAGCAAGAGGAACAGCCTTGATGGGAAAATATCTCTCTTGGCTACACTGACTTATTCAATGGTCTAATTCAAAGGTCAAAAATAATTTGCTTGATAATATAAAGTTTACTTATTCAAAAATATACATGCCACCTTTATACTAAAATAAAACCTGTCACTTTCGATATTCGTCTAACATTTTGCAACTCGTCTGAAAGGAGCTACACCTGCATGTATTTTAGAAACTTGAATCACTCATCAGAGTTTTAAATTAAACTATTACCTTATAAAAACTTCTTTTGTAACCGAAGGCAATTTTGAGCACAATAATATGAAGTATACTCTGGATGCGAAGAGTTAGACCGCTCCAAACCGTATGGACCGTCACAAATTAAAGTTGTCCTTTCAGGGAAAATTCCCAAAATATAATTTAAGAGTATTCTTCTATTTCAGTTACATAGTCTAATTACTTCCGGCATTAGGTTTCTAGGCTTCCAGGTTTGGCTGTCGATATTTGTCAAATCTGTGGAGCTGCATCAATTTGGTCGCAGAATAGTTACTTTTTAGAGCTGTGGACGCTCTAACCAATGTTTTTAAGATCATTTTTTTTATATCAATTAAGTTGAAATTGTAAATTGGCCACCGTAAAGAGTTAAAAAGCTGACGTTTTGAGCGTTAGCCCTTCGTCATTCGCTCTGACGAAGGGCTAACGCTCGAAACGTCAGCTTGTTAACTCTTTTACGGTGGCCAATTTACAGTTTCAACCTAGTTGATTAATTACCTTGTTACCCCCACCGACGCAGCACCACAGTTTCTTTAGAAACCTACCCCCATTTATTCATTAGTCTTTTTAAGTAGCTTTTCAGAAGGACTCGCAGGTAATCAAGCTCTAACACGGAGGCACTTCAAATATTTACGGATCGTGCACAATAATTCGTTTTCGAACGAAAGTGAACCATCACCTTTTTAAGGAAGTGATGTCATGCTTTTAACGTAACTTGTTCTTCGAATTGGTTTTCTTGTTGAACCTCGCAACCTGCAGGTATAAATGGTAGCGTGACAAATCGTCTCGAGTAACGAAAGATATTTTTAACAAAACATGAAATTTTGATGAAACACGTCGCAGCGACTTGCTTTCTACTGCAAAACATTTGAAAGGGGTTTTTGGTAGCGACTTCGTTCAACATGCCGTCCCATCCTCCAATCTTTGCATAGTTTTCTTTTTCCTACGATCAATTTTTGACGATTGTTTGAACAAACTCTCGGGATCGCGACGAAACGAAATATTAAAATCGAAACATTGAAATTGATCATAAAATCGATTGTGAAAATAAATTCGTTTCAGCTACGAAAGCACCTTTTAGATTGTAGGGTAATTTTACCGAGTCATACAACAATCATTTGAATATTTATTTACGGAATCTGTTTCAGTTGAAGAGGAACAGCAATGGGTTATCGACTCGCCAAAACCGACCGGGACAAGACTGATCCAAAACATTTGTGTACCAAGTGCAATGATCTATTACAGGAACCGAAGCAGACATCTTGTGGACATCGCTACTGTAGGGGATGTATAGACTCAATTCTAAGGTATTTTACATGTACATACTTTTCATGAATAGAACTTTTGCTTTTATTGCCTATGTTACATGTTCCAAGAGTTATGCTTCTTTCTTCTCCATTCTCAGTCGAACAAACGGTCATCGGTTAACATAATATTTAGTAATGGTTGATGTAAATGTGATTACGACAGAAAATGCTGTTAGAAGTGTTGCTTTGTATTTCCGCCGAGTATTATTAAGAGTTAAAAAGAACGGTTAGGAAATGAATAATAATTTGTACACGTGTTATAAATGTATAATATTGACAAAAATGGATGGAGAACCTTCAGAGAGAAGTTTAAACGCTTCAATAGCAGAACCTTAATGATAAACCTAAATGACAACAATACTTAATGAAACACGGCTATTTGAGAAACACGCTTTGGTTAGCGCCTGTGGCAAAACTTGAAAAGTGCCTAATTTACTAAAGCACTGACATAGAACAATATTCTGAAGACTGAATCATTTTAATATTCCCTTTAAACTTTCCACTCCCAGATCTCATTGGTGATTATCCTTACATTTTTATGAAGTCAGTCGAGAGAGTGTGGTATTCGATCAACTGATAGTCATTTTATTCTTATCGCATGTCTCCTTGATATTCTGTTGATATTGTCACTTGTGGGAGTTGAAGGGTTAAAAAAACTGGCTCGAAACTAACGTTTTGATTAGAAACGAAAACCTTTACCTTCAACTGATGTAATATTCATTGCTCGTCTTCATTCGCGCGCTTCATGCGAATGAAATCAACCTTAGAAAAATAGGGTCCTCGTGCTCCTAAGCTGACTATATCTCACTTGAACGCGTCAAAGTGTGACTCATACTAAGTATTTTTAATGTGACATCATCATTAAACCAAATTTTAATTGATAATTTCATACCTTTACGGATTTCAAAGGCTTGCCACCCTCCTGAGGGAAGGCCAAGGGTTATTTTTTTGTAATAAACACTTTGTCACCGTTTCTTGATTGCAGTAAGGAAAATTCGGAGGGGAAGTGTATTGAGGATGACACACTGCTAAGGGAAGAAGAGGTGAGAGTTAATTATCAGTTTGCAGTCACGATGAAGATCACGATAAAAAAAAAACTGGTCTGTTATGGTGAACACTACCGACGGCAAATTCCCGATAACCATGAATCCGGCCCAAAGGCTTACATGATTTAAGGTTCGTAAGGATGCTTACATTTCGGGGGCATTTACAAACGGATGGATTTACCATTAGAGGAGAGTTTACCCTGGCAATTATTTAATCAATGTAAAATAACGCTGTAGCTTTAGTTTCCGACGCAAAAATCAAGAAATCGTCAGTAAAAATGAGATACTGCCGATACATAAAATCATGGAACACAGTACATCATTAACCATCAGTAGAGTGTGTAACAAAAAGAAACACTATAGTCTGGGAATGTGTCCGAAACCGTCCAATGTGATATTCTTTGGTCTTTTCCATGAATCAAGAAGGCATCGATTTAATTAATGAATAAAGGCACAAAGTTTCTAAAGAAACTGTGGTGCTGCGTCGGTGGGGGTAACAAGGTAATTTGACCAACTAAGTTGAAATTGTAAATTGGCCACCGTAACAAGTGAAAAAGCTGACGATATGAGCGTTAGCCCTTCGTCAGCGCGATTCGCTCTTTATATGAATCTATGTCCAAAATAGCCGCACGAGAGTTTACATGCACGAAGGGGTTTTATGTAGAAGCCTCAGTTAATTTTTACCTCTTGAGGTGGAAGCTCCTAATTAGAGAGGTTCGCCCATGAATTCGGAATTTTAGTTAATCATAGACTTGTACTCCGTATCGGGTAACGATCTACTAGCAGAAGTTATCCCGGAATGTTCTAGGAAGTTCAGTACCATTTAAGTGAGAGGTACAATGACCAAAGTGTCGGGGTTAGAGTTGGAGTTATATCTTCACGACGCAAGGATCCGTAGTTCATACGTATATTGGAAATATGCAAAACAATATACAATTTAGAGGATTTGGTTGGATTCGTAATTACAGTTTGGCATTTTAACCAGGAGTAGCATTTTTTTCAATTTATTGTAAGCCAAAGGATAGACTATACCATCGCTGTCCTATAGACTCACGAACACTGTTTGGCTCTTTCTTCATGAAAACTCTTCTCCAGAAG